GTTCTATGCCTTCCTCTGTTTTCCCAAGATCGTCTATTCAAAAAGCTGTACCAGTACACCCATGTTTATCTGCGCTTCAATTCATTTTGCACCTTGAAATTTATTATGAAATAGAAACCAAGGATTAAAAAAATCTTCTTTTAACTTATAATAGACCATATAAACTTATGTTTTGTATTACAATCGATTTTTTAAAACCTATTCTGAATAGATGATGAAAAATTAATATGCATAGCCTATGAGTCATTCTGCATAGTGTGTTTAAAAACCCCAATAACCTGTCTATTTAAATCGTTATGATTCATGTAGATGACCATAAGCTTTATTAAGTATGTATACGTAGCAGTTTGTGTGTGGTTCTTCGGTTTTACGGTTTGTAAAATGAAATGGCTCAGAATAAGTCATCTTCACATGTTTAGTGGATCTTTGGTGTCCACGTCCCCGCGGTGTCCGAGTCCTACCGGTGTTGCGCGCCCCTGCATTTAGAAACAGAGAGAGAAGGAAAACTTCGGAGAAATGGCGGAGGGTGCTGCGACACTCAAAGGCTTGCGAGCCCAAATGGGTAAGAAAATACATCCGTCGTGTGTTATTTCAAACTCAGTTGAGTCCAACTGTGTGGAGAGTACTCGGTACTGTTTGCAGGCAGCGGTTTACCGGGGTTTGGTTTCCGAGCGGCAAGCTCTTACTGGCTAATGATGTTAGCTCGTTATCCGGTCACCTGCTTACAATACTTCATCAGAGCTGTACGGTGGTGTCAAAACTAGCTTCTAGTTCCAGATATTTATTTTTGTAGGAAACCTAAACAAGCTAATGCCAGTCCTCGAAAGTAAAGTGTTTGCTTTTAAGCGTTAGCTACATTTGCCTAGCTTAAGTTATGTTAGCTTAGCCAAAGTTTTTTTTTTTTTCGGAGCCAGCTGACATATCTTGACGGTTATCAGTAGTGTCTCGTCACTGTCTTTAGCATTTATCTATTTTTGTCGCATTCAGAGCTTTATTGTTGCTGACATTGAGTCTCAAAGTGCTGCATCTGACAAGCTCAGAATACCCTGTCAAGGTTATAACCAGTTGTGCATTTTGATTTGAAATAAAATCTTGAGTTGTTTGCTTACAGGAGGAGGTATTAGATGACATCTTTTCTCCAGACTCATCTGCTGGCTCGCTGTACATCAGCAGTTTTTGTAGCTTCCTGCTTGGAGCTCCTCTTTGTGACCTACCAGCCTCTTCCTTTACTGCTCGTCAGTTGATGTCTGTTTTGATGACATATGGTGTAACCCCCTCCACTACTATGGGGTGGATAAATGCAACAAAGAGTGACCTTAATTTAAGATAAAGCTGCACTGTCTTACTGTTAAGCTGTTTTTACTCCCTTAAAAAGATGTGTTGTTAGATCATCAATCAAAAAGTACTTTGTTAAGCAAAACAACTCTTATTTTTTGTACACAAAGTTTTATCTTTTATCAGTGCTTTTTTCCTGTCCCATACAGACTTGCATGTTTACTGTGTTTGTGTCTGGGGGCATGAATGCAGGGTTTGTTATGGCTGGAGCAGCCTCTGGGGTGTGTTGAAGGGATTTTTAGGGTATGAGGGGAGCTTTCTGCATACCCAGTTTGGGTGTAGGCACGTATATTTTATTTTTTATTTTTTACTCCTGGCTACTACTTCAACACATTGACCATATACAGTGTCTATCTTCCCATTTCCCCTTTAACTTTTCCAGTCAGTATTTTCAATCTGGAATTGATGTCCACCATTTCTGTGGTTTTATGAAAATATCCGCTAAGTTTAGAGTTACGTGCTGGAATTCTGGCTTTGTGAGGAATTAAATGACGTCCCGAGCAAAAATATATTTTTTTTGATTGACCTTCAGTCAGTGTGGAGGACTGACAGGAATAAAATAATGTTAGGAATCCAGCTCATGTGCATTGTCTTTTCCACAAGAATGCGAGGAAGGAGCGAACTCGCCCTGCTATTTTTTTTTTTTGACAGATCACACACTTGCATCTCAAATGGCCGTCTCATCTTATCCACATCCTGGATCAGCGAACACTTCTATGGAATTAAAAGTATGAAAAATATCCCAAAGAACCGAATGAATCTGACCAGAGCAGAAAATAAACGTCAAATTCAATTTGTAGGCTTTTGATCTGACTGATTGTAGTTTTATTGTTATAGAACAAAGGAACTTATTACAGTGTGATTTTTTATAGATTTTTAATTTATAGGCTGTGTTATCGTGTAGGTCTGTACACACAACTACACACATCATTTTGAATGGCAAATTAGGCCAGTCTATGTATGCTGTCTAAGCCATTGTCACACAAACATCAGAGCAGTTTCGCTCATAGACATTAATGGTATATTTACATGTATTGGCRTGACATTAAGAGGACACACACAGTTAGGGATGTCCTGATCAGATACTCAGTCTCGGTGGCAGATATGGCCATTTTTTGAAAATCAGGTAGAATCGGATATAGTCATGTGATCCGCTCTAGTTTTCGCGACAGTTTTCAGCATCATCATTTTTTACAACTGCCGTTAAGAAGTCAAGACGCACACAAGTATCCATGTCCACAACACTTTTCAATGGAAAACGATGCTGAAACTGCATCTTGCAAAATCTGCAAACTGGATGTTTCTCATGGTGGGAACAGCAGGGTTGGCTTTGAAACTACCAACCTTGTTACTTGGAAAGAAATAAAGCTATCGGGTCGGTATCGGTCGGAAAGACTAATCATTAAAAACATTGGATTGTATCGGGAGCCAAAAAATCTTTATGGGGACATCCCTACACATGCTTCAACCACCCAGACTGCCATGCTGTAGAACACAAAAAGGCAAGCTAGAACTGGAGTGATCCATACACATATTTGAAAATGACTAATTTGTGTTAATGCCCGTAGAATAATTTAATACCCCTTGAAGAGAGGACTCCTTACCAAACTGGGATGTGTCATCGTTATTCTGCTAGTTCTGCAAATAGCTAAGGCTTACCTTTGCATGAACAGGCTTTGATAATCCCATGGAAGATTAGTTAGATAAGTTAGTGTGTGTTTGTGAGCATGCATCTGTAGAGTTGTTTGACCTGAGAGCTTCAGGATAATGAATGTTCATTGCCAGCGGTATAATTTTACTCAAAATGTTAGTCAAGATTATTTCATTTTTGATTCCACTGGTGGTTTAAGGCACACATTTTATACAGTTTGGCACACTTTCCTGGGGTCTTAACGAAATGTCTGTGACACCACTTTGGTCAAATTACAAAGGGATTACTGTATTTAATCACTCTTTTATAGTCCGTCTTCAGAGCGATTTTTCTCGCAGCTGGCTTTTAGGGGATATAATGAGACACTTCTCACCCAGGGATCTTCTGTTTTTCAGAATATTTGCCCTCAAATTACCGTAATCTGTAGAAAATAGCCATATTACTCAGCTTGACAGTTCACAACGTCACATCAGCATTCAGAAAACTGTTGGAAAAACAAGATTTGTGATTCTTAAACACCTGCAGTTTTCCAGTTTACAGTAATTTATTGATTGATGGTAATGAGTCATCRTTTTTAGGCACAATCTTCATGTGTCGAACTGACCCAGGCTCTTTCAAACACCCCACTTCAAATGCCAAACTTGGAGAAGCATTTCKTTTCAGACTGAGTTATCTGTAAAGCTAGTTTGCTGGTGAAAAMAGAGCATAAAACAAAACAAAGAATTCCCCCTTCATGAAGTGGAGGGAATGAAACGTAATTTGAAGTTAAGCTTAAAGTGAGGAGGCTGGATTATTTTTTTATTTTATTTTTTTACTTTGGAAAAGCACTCGTTTTCTTTCCTGCAAAACTAAAAGCTAAAAAACGTGACAGATTTTACTTTTTGGTTGTTGTTTTTCTTTGATTTTATAAAATCGTCAGCTACCCATRAAGTGTTTGTTTTTAGATATATGTTTAAACATGCCTTCTTTAAGTCAGTCTGTCTGCATATCCACCCTCTAATTGTGTTTATTTGGATAAAAGTATGCCCACTTCATCACGTTTTCAATGCCCAAATAGTGGTCGAAACGCATATTTAGCAGGCCAGACAACTTCCTGAGCAGAAAGTCATTTAGCTGCAACATGCTGCAGGGCACAGCAGAGTGCAGTTTGAAGAAGCAATGATAAAAACAGATCAGCTGATCTAACTTGTGCTTTTTCCTTTATTTTTTTTATTTTATTTTTTATTTTTTGTTCAGTCTACTAATTGTGCATGTGACAGAAATTATTAAAAAATGCCCAGTGAGATTGTAATAGTTGACTGGAGCAGTTTTGATGGATGTAGTGCAGACGGGCCTTTTTCCTGTTTAGAGTTTTGTTTGGGTTGCAGAGCTGGGTCATTAGGCCCCCAGTGGTATTTACCCTGCCTTAATAACGCAGCAGCCCGGGGCTGAGCTGTAATTAATCAGTGACTTTTGTGATTCGTTTTCATCCAGTTTTGATTGTTTTTTGTTTGTTTGTTTCACCTCAACTCAAATTGCTAAAGTCAAAATCACAATATCTGCACAATTCTTTGGTATCTTGATGATTGATGTTTGGCTAAACCACAGCACAGCACAAACAGTTTGATGGTCGTAAGTAAATTATGGAAACAGCATATTTTCTGCTGCAGACTGGTACTCAAATATTTTTTCCAGTATCCTGTTTCTAAAGAAATGTTCAAACTGCTCAGTTAATACTTACAATCTGTCTGAAATCCAAGTCGACATAAAATTCACTGTTTTCGTCTCTGGCGTCTTCGATAAGTTTGACCAACCCAACATTAGTGATATATGTAAATGTGTGCAAATCTCCATAGTGATGAGAGTGAGCTCATCTCACTGGCTCTTTTCCTTTCTATGAGCACACCTRCCCCTCTTCAGTTCTGTTGAGAAAATGATGTCTGTCCTTCTCATGAAAGGTTTTTAATCAGCTCTTCAGTGTGAGAGCTGCGTGTCTTTTATTACAAGATGTTTGTCTTGAGTTTCCTACATTTACCTCTTATGCTTCTGACGTCCAGAAATTCATTAAAGTCTTGATCATGTCAGTTTTTTAGTCTTAACTTCAGGGTTTTATGCTAAAGTCAGTGATGTTATGCATAAATAGTTTGTATTGTTAAAGTGAACAGCTGCTACCTCTTCCTGTCAGCTTTTACTTCCCCATACGAGACAGAAAAATGCAGTTTGTTGAAATATGAAGTCTACCATAATCTGATGCGTTTGACTTAGAATATTTCAATTGTAATCTAAATGCTGCGTTTTACAGTTTAATGCTACATATATATCTTTTTGAATCTGATTAAATTTTGGGTGTCAATATAATTAAAACTTGAACCATAATGAATTCTGTAATTCAAAAAYGTAAMATAAATTTCTATGTAAAGCTGTGTAGGCTTCAAGTTGCGACTTTTTTCTTACTAATAAGCTTATTTTCTATGTTTTACCAAGATACGCAAAGAGCCAAATAACTAATAATTCTCAAATGTGTTTTTAAAAATGTTCTTTAAGAGATAAACTGAATGCAGCTCATGAAACTTACATTAGTGAAAGTTGTGCTACTTCGTTTCAGCTGTTGCTAATATTGAACAAAGATGTGACCTTACAGCTGCCTGTCAATATGTGTGTTAATGACCTGACCTCTTTTTTTCCCCCTATGTTTGACATTGACTAAAATATGTTATAAAGCTGAATTTAGTTTTTGTCTGAAACAAGTACAGTTGCAATCCCAATATTCAACCCCCAATCATTTCAATGTTTTTCTCATTTAATGTTTCTTCAAAAAATGCTTGAAAAATGRACCAATATTCCAGTTGAGAAGTGTAGGAATCTTGTCATTGAAACTGTTTTTTGGCAGATATAAAAACGCCAGTAAGTGCCGCTAAGTACTAAAGTTGTGGGTTGAATAACACTGCATGTGTTCAAAGTTAGAATTTTCATTTAAAATTTAAACTTAGGTCAACTTTTTTTGTCACAATGACTTAAATGTGTATCAGTAAATGTTGTTCAGTGAGGTATTTTTGTCATTTATTTTCTTCCACAAAATGTCTGAGGCAGGTAGGGTTGGGCTAAAATTAGCAAAAAGAAAATTAATCACAATTACAGTAATTGCGGTTTTTAGCCAATTAAGATTAATAGATGAAAATTACACATACATATTTTTGGCTCTAAGTCAGTTACTTTTTTAAAAGTTATACGTACAAATCATTGGTTAAATTAACTTACACGTTTTAACAATTTCAATTAGTAATCTATAAATTGAAACCCGTGGCAAAAATGTTAATTGTTGACATTTTTTCTGACGATAAATTGCACACAGTGCAATTTTTTTCCAACCCCAGCTGATGGTGTTGAATATGCATATTTGATTGACACTWTATATGTTTTCCTTTGTCTCTTTTAACATTGAACTTTATTGCTGGAGCAAACTAACACTGGGAGAAAAATCCTTTGGAGACTCTGTCATAATCAGAACCTCAACTTGGATATTTTGTATTTGCCTTTTTGTCATCACAACACTTTTTGTTGTTGTTGATGGTTAAGCTGTGAGCAAAGCATGAAGTATTTGRTTGGCTGCTGAACAGAAGTTCTCTGTTGTTTGTGTCAAGTTAAGGTCAGTAGAGAGAGTTGACTTCCATATAGACAGACATCGTACTTTGAGAAACAATGAGGCTGTGGTGTGTGGGTGTGTGCAACACATTTTAATTTCTTCCACCTTCACAAAGTAAAACCAGTCGCTCATTTTGATCATTTCCAATGGGTGTCTTTGTGTAACAATTCAAGTTTTGTTTTTTGGTTTCTGTGTCCATATTTTGTATTGCAGTGAACATTGATACAAAAAGAGTTGCACTAATTACCAAAATGTGACTCATCCAACCTTTTGTTTATGTATTGCATTTGATAGCGTATCATTAATATGAGATGAAGGTCAACTGGCGTAAAACCATGACCCCTGCAGTAAACTTTCAGCAAAGAGATGTTTAAAAGTTCCAGTCCATCCTGGGAGTATCACAGTACTATTGATTGTTTTGTTCTTTGTCAGCACTTCTGTAATACTGAATAYACAGCAACAAGAGGGGAAAAAGCTTAATCATGTCCTCACCATTTCCTTCCTTTCTCCCTCGTTATTTCCTAAGCTTACAGTTCATGTTTACAGTTTGRCCTAAAAAAGCTTTGAATTGAATTAAGGTGATTTATATGTTGCCTTGGAAGSCTGCCTTTGTGATTCGTGGCTTTTTATACAAAACTGGTCACCACCTTATGCACACCGATCAGCTTCACTTTTGTCATAATAAAATTCTGYACTAGTATGTGTATTAGATTGTGTTACCCTGGAATAATTATAAGCCACRTACCAGGAAATATCTACAGATTTGATACAGAATATGCTTTCCGTATCATCACATTCATCTGATCTTGTCATAAAAGATGATGTGAGCTTGAAAATGAGSTTAAWAAGACGATGGGGACGTAGCATAGCATAGTGTAACTTTTGATTGTGTTTGTTTTGTGTTGTTTTGTTCAGCTGCAGCCGCTCAGGCACAAGCAGAGGAGCGGCGTAACTTAGCAGGGAACAGTCCAGGACCTACAACAAACACAACAGCTAAACCTCAGGGGTGTAGGCCAGGTAARCGACACCACACTACAAAACAAAGCCCTCTGCTTTGTCCTCTGTAATCTTAACATGTAAAAGCAACACAATCCACTGCCACCATCCTCTCAGTGAGGCTTACTGCTAGTCATCATCTTATTACTGTAACAGTTGACGCAGCTCATTAGTGACTTACATACATGCACACATCTGTCCACTTGACACAAAGCCTCTCGTGTTCTCCTGCATGGTTGTACCTATTTTTTTTCTTTTAACTGCATCTATGTGTTTGCAGTAATTGACGGTGGCACGCTTCGAGTGGACGACCGACTGCGAGTAGCAAAAGAGAGGAGAGAGGAGGCAGAAAGACAACAGGGTAAGCAAAGATTTTTTAAAGTTGTATTTGTCAAAAAAATCCATGAACTGTTAACTTGTAAAAATATACTAACAGGAAATTMATTTCCACCTATRTTATTAGAAGAACTAATATACAACAAAAGAAAAATTTAAATATTTGTTGGAGTATGATTATAGTGAAAAATGCACAAAGTATTTTGGTATATTTTTAACATTTTATACTTTATTTAAAAAATCTAAAGGAAGTGGTCAAACTCTTATAGTTACAGCCTTATGCTAAATCTAGTCTTTTCTGCTCTTAAAGTGCCTGTGACATGCATATCCTTCAAATACAAAAAGTAAAAGCTAACRTCTTTATATTTAAGAAATGTGGGATAATATACACGCGATTTTACACATTTTGTCCCATAACTGGCATATTTTCTTTTGAACTAGACTCAAAGTGAAACAGGACGTGACATCAAAGGGGAACTCTTCAACCAAGAAAACTCTSTGGTCTTTGTTTAAATAATATTTGAACAATGTTATCTTTCYAAAATACATTCATATTTAATACAAAAATATGATGTCACAGGCACTTTAATAGCACAATTATATCAGTCCAATAATAAGGCAGTAAGCACATTGTTTAATCTATCTACATTCACCTTCCATGAATGAACAATCTGTACGTGTCGTCAGCTGTGCGAGAGTCTCAGATCATGGAGCGCGAACGCAAAGCTAAGCTGCAAGTGGAGCGTCAGTTGGAGGAGCGTCAGAAAAAGTTGGAGGAGCAACGACGGAAGGAGGAGCAGAAACGGTTGGCTGTGGAGGAGAAGAGGAAACAGAAGCACGAGGAAGAAAAGGTATCTACAACAGAGTCATGAAACACGTCAGAGCTGTGCTTACTGATGCTCAGATGGTAAAAAAAGTAATCTGCAGGTAAACATTCTACTTTTTCCTTCATGACTTAATCAAAGGAGTCGTTTCAGACGCTGACATCTGCAGTTAGGTTTTTCTCTCTGCTTCCCTTTTGCTGCAGGAACACTATGAGGCAGTGATGAGGCGAACAATGGAGCGCAGTCAGAGACTCGAGCAGAGGCAGAAGMGATGGTCTTGGGGGGGTTTGTCCACAGATCAAGATGGAAAAGCAGGTACAGTTCCTCTGAGTTTTCATGTTCTGTTCCAGTTTCACCATCAGGTTGTCAGAAGCACTTTTTATTATGCATTTAGAGCGCTTTGTTCTAAACAAGACACAAGTCAGTTTTGTCTAAATGTTCATCTCTTTGGTCAGAGTTATTGATGCTCATGTGGTTATTAAAGAATTGTGCAGTTTCATCCAGAAGAATTGTCTTCTGTGTTTTGTGCTTCAGGCAGTAGCTGTGAAGTCAACACTAATGACTTCTCTCCTTGTATAAAGGATGTGCCCTGTCATCTTGTGTTTTTGTTCCTGCCTGAGAACTGTTTTTTCCCCACAGGAGACTCCAGTGCCAGCCTCCCCTCCCCAGTAACTATAGTTGTCTCGTCTGCCTCGTCAGAAAAGCCACAAAGGAGTGGACAAGGTTTTGCTTGTTAATTTGATCATTATTGTAACAGCACAGCATGGACTGGCACTGGCAYCGCAGATACCCTGGTTCCCCTTTGCACCATCACTTCTGCATCCCCGTCAGTCCCCACCTGCTTCCTAACTGGCAGTTTTTCCACTAACATCTTTTTGTATGGAGTGTTTGGTTCTGACAGAGCTATGAGTTTGATTAATAACAGAACATGTTGTTTTCCACTCACAGTGTTGAGCAGTGTTGGGTAAAATAATTAATATTAGGGCTGCACCTAACGATTATTTTTATAGTTGACTGTTGATTATTTTTTGTTATTATAACAGATTGGATTAGATAGACCTTTATTGTCATTGTACAGAGCACAATGAAATTACAGTTCAGAACACCCATTCAAAAGAAGACAGAACATAACAAACACAGGAGAACAGGTGCCCTGGGTCATGCAGCCACAGACCCACAGCTAAAGTGACATAAAAAAAAGATCCATCCTGTTAGAAATCTTGTTGGATCTGACAGTCCAAAAGTTCAAATAATAAGATCAATGCCAAATAAACAGGAGAAGACGAGACAGGAGGGATTATTACTGTAATTCAGTAATTTAGTACTTAATGCTTTAAATGRTAGCTCCGCTTCCATAAAATACTGTTTTCAACAATAAACTAACAAAAATTATAGACAGTTGGCTACAGTACAAAGTGGTCAGTCACTGAAAATAAGATTTAAAAGACATCAACCTGACGAACAAGCTAACTTCCTGAAACATACCCACCTGCAGAGGACATAATCACAGCTGCAGCGTGTTAGCTCTTCAGGTGAATTTTTATATACTGCTGCTGTCCTGCCTTAGAATGACTGCATTTKTACTTTTTCATTTTTGGTCAAATATAGCCAACTTTTGAAAGTTCAAGTCATCAAATTTTTTTAATCCGCGCTTCCTTTCCACCATTATTATTGTTGTTATTATTATTGTTATTATCATCATCATCATCACACTTTGGTATGCATTGTCTTCTGTTGTTTACAGACCAGCACCTCTTCTTTAGTAGTAAACAAAGCGACTACAGGTACTAGGAGCAGTCCTGCCCCCATCAGTTTGCATATTTCATAAAAACGAACATTTAGAAGTTTAAAAAATTTGAAAATTTGATAATAAAATTCCTTGTGGACTAATTTATACAGTCAAAATAATCGATTATTTCAAATAATCGGTGCAGTGCTAATTGATCTAATTAGTTAACTTGACAACCAACACATATTTACTTTTGTTACTCATTCAGAATCCTGAAACTTTTCATAGACCACATGTAGAAATTAACAAAAAAACACTAGTTTTTAATTAAAAAAGGAAATAAAACAATACTTTCACTGTTCACATGAGTTATGCAGTTTGTGTACTGTAGAATATAATAAATGTAAACAGAATCATTTATTCTGATACTAGCTTTATGTTGCCCAGCCCTGCTCTCATGCACATTCAGGTCACATGGGTGATTTAGCATTAACTACTGAAAGTAAATTCAATATCAAACTATTATTGCTTATTAAACAGTTTTGTGGATGTTTTCCTCTTTTAACAGTTAAATTCAAGCATGTGGTGTTTGCTGACAACAATCGGTTGTTCTACTGAAGAACTCAATATTTTTTTTACCTCTTAAAGGAGTTAGAAACTTGCAGAACTTTGTACTCCTTCGTCCGCACCTGAAATCCCTCTCCCATTGGCTAGCTCCCTGTGTAAACCCCGCCTCCCTTGTGTGTTCTTCCTCTTTGCCCGTAGTTGACAAGCGCTCCACATCCTCCACCAACCTAAAACAGCCGTCTGAGGCTGGCATCAGCAAACGTTTGTCCTCCTCCTCTGCCACGCTCATCAGAACTCCCGACAAACGTAAGTCTCCTCTTTTCCCTCCTCCGTTCCTTCTCCCTCCCTCCCACCAACCCTGCGTCCAAGTGTTGCTTTTTATCCCACACAGTATTCAACATGCATGTAATGTATTTGTGATAAACCTTTGTTAACTTTAAGCCTTAAAGTGAACTTTGATCCCTCTTCTTTGTCATATTCAGTGTTTGGTGCACAGATTTATGGGTAAACAAACGTCAGACTTTCTGGCTCCAAGGAACCCACAACTCTTTTTTGTATATGTTTAATASATTTCTTTTTAGGTACTGAAGTCAGCCTATTTATGGGGCTTAATTGTGTCCAGCTTTTAACTAAGATCAATGCAAGACTCCAGTTGAAGGCGTCGGAGGAACCARCTTCAAGAAGCTTTTCACATAAATCATCACTGGCTGTTTCGTTGTTGTCTCTCAGGTGTTAAGACGAGGAGTTCGTCTTGTAACCGGCTGCCAAGCAATGGCACAGCTGCTCAGGCCAGTAAGGAAGATGGCAAAAAGCTTCAGGTGGAACAGACAGGTGCAGAAGATCCTCATATTTTTTATATTAAGGACGATTATTGTTTCTCAGAGTGCTTCAWGAGATATTCAGCTCTTTCAATAAGCTAGCTTCCTGCTTGTTATTTTACATTTTACAAACAAAACTAAAAGAAACCAAGTGTGAAAGTCTGCTTTAGTGTGAACAAGGTGTCAGATGGGACAGTTGAAAAGCTCGTCTGTGTGTTCAGGCATTATTTGTTTAAACTGGGGCATCAGCTGCTGTTAGTTCTGGCCTGGTGACTTTCACAAGGCCAAATAAAGTGCACATGACGTGCAAGCTCTTTCTTAGTCGACTCCCCTCGAGCTCYGGCTCCGCTGTAACTCCACTCTCATGTCTGTAGGCCTTTCTTCGAAGAAGAGAAGTTCCTCCCTCACACGAGTGAGCGCGAGCAGAGCGCAGACCCCCGCCAAGCCCGATAAGGGGACGACGGACGATCAAGGTGGCTAGCATGTTTAAAAGCTGCGCGMGTCGCTTCAGGCCTCTCTCTTAAATAACAAGCATGCAGCTTTCATGGCTTCCTCATTCTGAACACTGTGACACTTTGGAAGTCCTAAAGAACACTTTCTGGTACTAAAACCTTCTGGAGAAATGCTTAATTTGTCACGAAGCTAAGTCTTTCCCCCTTCATTGTAAGTTTTTTCTTTTGATTTACTGGAAACGCTTAACTTTGTGCTGTTTTAACCAAGCAGACCCAGCTCTGTGCCATGTTTCTCACCAACAATTCATTTCCTTTTTAACCTTTTTTTTTAATTTAATTTTTTCTTGTCTAAAGCATCCACACAGGGAAGATATGGTTGTGTTACTGTCTGCTCTAACAAAGCTCATTGTTCTGTTGTCTCAAACTGTTGGTTGTCCTCTTCCTCCAAGATGACTCATAGCTGGATATAAGTTTGGTGTGTGTCTGTGTCACGCTCAAACCAGAAATTGACCTCATTGTATCCAAATCTCTGTGTTACTAATAACCATAACTGCTTTTGTTTTGTTCTTCAGCTCAGTCGCCCAGTTTGTGTCCAAAAATTTGCGATGATATTCCTGTGTGTCACATCTTTTATTACTAATATAAAAGCTTAATAATTAATAGTCTTCCATCTGTTTAAATGAGATTTTTTACTTGGATCACAGACGTCCACATGCTGCCAGGCTGAAAACAATGAGCAAAATATCAAGTCTGTCACTAGCAGATGTTCCCTCAGTAAAGGGCTACGAAAAGCTGAAATCTGCATCCTTCCTTTTAAAGAGCTACATCTACTTTAAAAGTTCTCATCTAGTGTAGTTTATTCTCAGTAGTTTGGTAGAAAAAACACTTATGTCGTAAAAGCAATAGCTCTTTATTTCTGCTGTAAAATTAATGTTTTTAATGACGATTGGCTTGATGATTGGGTATCAGCCCAAACATCTCCTGGAAACTATTGTTCAGCAGAAAGTAAAGACCCTTTGCATGATCAGTCACTCATCCTGTCACTTGTGGTTTATTTCACTTCTCACATTGTTCACCTGCTTTCTTTGAAGGAACTAATGGTTTATTTTCCCCGTGGCTCGAAGAACTATTGATTTGTCCACGTCGCCTACTGTTTTTAATCTTTTCAGTAACAGAAAATGAATCTCCTTATTTATCCATGGTACCTTAACTGATGACAACCTTTTGTTTAAAATCACCAAAAACTGAAAAGATGTTGAGGAATCCATGCATGATTACGGAGACATGACCTTTGGTTCTGTACATTGATTCTTTCCTGTTGAATCACATGGTGACCTTTTCTTTTGTCTTTATTCCACATTCTTACCAATTTTTCCCTCTTGGCCCCTCCTTTTTTTCCCGTTCTCCTTCACTGTTTTTTCGGGGGATATTTTGGCCGTGTAGCCCGCAGGCCACCGGCAAGTGCTGTGGATGAAGGGGTCCTTAGTCGCCTCCTCACCCCCACCCAGGCCTCACTAGCTAGGAGCAAGAGCGCCGCTGCCCTGTCCGCTGAAGGAACGGACGCTCCAGGTAACCTCCGCTTAGGAGATCCTGACAGRGAGGAGGGATGACTAAACACATGTCCCTTGACACGTTTGAGTAATGCCTCTCTAGATAAATTCATCCCATTGTCTTGCTGTAAACCATGCCTTTTTTATATTACCTCTGTGGTGGTGGAATTACACAAATCTGTTTATTTATTCGCCCTTTTAACAAGCCGCTGTSTGAGTGATCAGCTGTTTTAATATTTGCAGTCATTACTTTCTTTAAATTAGACTCATGATGTCGTTGGTAAATATGGAGCTAAMCGCTCCAGCTCACGTGCGCTCACAGGTCTTTAAACAGTCGGCTGTTTGTTGAGCTGAGCGGTTCCATCTGAGGAGCCTCATGGTCCGAGCTGAGAGGTTTACACTAAGCTGCTTACCTACTGGTTCTTGTTGCACTGGAATGAGTCTGTTGGGCTGTTAAATGTGTTAAACAACAATTCTCTTGGTTCCATAGGCCTATAAGCTAAAGCTGATATAGTTATATGTGCTTTAAAGCCATTTTTTTATATTTAATATCATAATGAGAATACATTTATGCTGCTTTTATTTCAAAGAATGACTGACACACTTCAAATCTGCTGTATTTTTTTTTCTCCAGTGTTTGTTTTAGGTTATGGCATTTATTGATAATCCATTACCAACTATAGATCCTCTAAGTGTAGCCTCAGCTGAAACATGACAGCCCCAGCAGCTTGTCACAGGACATGTATCAGAGTCAACGTCGCTGCAGCTCACTGGTTTAGCAGGAAGAATTGTTTAGCYTTCTGGATTATGAGGTTTAATCCCTCAATCTGACACAGCAAAACAGAGGAACAACACTACACAATAAACTAGCTACCACTTTTGATGTTATAAGCAGGAGCACAGAATTCGTTTTTTACATGCATTTAAATGAAAGTTACATAATAATACAGGAAGTTCTACAGGCCTCATATTATAATCTGTTTTTAGGATAAAAAAAGGAGAAGTGACACATTATCTGTTGAGTGTACTAATACATCATTGTGCTGTAATGTGTGCTCAGTGTTGGTGTTTTTAGTCTTCATGTTCTGTGTTGTGTGCAGAAGATTTGGCGATGAAGTGTGTTTTTGTTTTATTTATAAGACTGCTGCTTTCCACTCATCATGTCCCATTAATTTCCTGCTAAGTCAAAGCTTTTAGAAATCAACCCCCCTGCATAAAGAGCTATATCTAACAAAGTGCTTTTTGTGTGCTCCCCCCCCCCCACTTTCACAAAAACACTCTCCTGCATTTGTTTCCTACCATCATCTACCCCCTCCCTCCCCGTTTGAATATTTTTTCCCTCCCGCTCTCCCTTTTGTTGCTATCGATCTGTTTTCATTCTCCCTTCACTTTTTGCTGCTTTGCTGCCCACTTCTCACCCCTCCCCCATTGGTCGTGCTGCCCCGGCGCCCCCCACTGCGATGACTATGTCCTTTACCAGAGTATCACCTGTGTCCTCGTTCAGCCTCTGCCAGCCCCCTGCACCCGCCGAGGGGACCCATGCGCAGCCGCAGCACCGACCGTCAGAAAAGCGCCATGACGACGTCGAAGTCGGCCAGCGAAGCCCTCGACCCTTCTCTGGTGAGAAGTCTTAAACTTAATGTTACTAACACCGCTAGTCAAAAGAAAACAACAAAAAGAGTTTTCAAAACTAGGTTTAAACAGCTAAAATTATATCTTAATGCATGTCGTCCTAATGGAAGTGACCTGGATGAGATTTTTTTAGATGTTAGATCTAATCTCCACTGCATTCAAAACTGAGAGTGTTTCATTTAAAGTAGCATGCATGACAATATATTTACATATAATGTACTTYTGGAAATGGAAAAATATACTTGAAATGTTATCAAAAATATAATCAACTTTTAAATCATGTAATTAACAGGAATCTTTTTTTTTTATTTCCACTAGAAAGCCAAAACAATGTGAAAAACATTAATTTGGTAAAAAGAGCTTTTCCTTCTTAAGAATCCAATTATTTTACTACATTTGCACATTTTATCACRAGCTTGTTATTGGATCACACAGAGGAAACAAACACAAGGTCATCTCTGATTTATGCACGTATCCGACTACATTTGCCTGTCAAAGTACTTCTGTGAGATGCTAACCGTAGGGAAATGTAGCTCCTCCTGCTGTTCTGTGAACTTTTCAGGCCACTCACGTGTTRTGTTTGCTTTCACACTGGAAGAAGRTTGTGCTGTAGCTTTACACAAGTCCGTGTTCTCAGTCGGTAGCCTGTAGTGCCTGGCTCTTTCTCATAAACTGCTCCTCCTCATCCTGCTCCTGAGATGTGAAGGGCTTCATTGTAATAGCATGAGACAAAGGGATCCACAGTGGCCTGATTACAGACGGATGAGGCCATGCAAAGCAGACCCACCCTGACCGTACCGCACCATATCTAAAGTCTTTGACTTTTTTATTTCACTTCCTGTCTTTTTATATTTTAATGACCTATGATCAGAACTTACAACATAATGCATTACAGTTACATATTTAAAAATTTACAGATATCTCACAATGTTGTCATTAAGAAATCACAGGGCTGTTTTTTTTTTCCTTATTACATTTTACATTTTTTAGGGCTTCTATATTTAAAATATTGTTTTTACTTTTCAGCTTTTTTTAAAGAGATGTTCCTGAAATGATTTTAATTCAGTTATGTTTTAATCTTGTCTAGCTCTGTCTTTTTGTGTTTCATAAAACAGAAAGACAAGCAGTTAACGTCACCTCAGGGGCAGCGTCCCGCCTCCCCATCCGCCACCCTGGTACGCAACCGTTCACCTTCCCCGGCTCCCAGTCCAGCTCCAAAGAGGACCCCRTCTCCATCAGCAACAAAGTAAGATTTTAAACTGGTTCAGTTAATAAATGTTTTACCTTTTATGTTGTTTTATGTTGTTGTTTTAAGTGGACATATGCCTTTAAGTYCTCCATTTTCACATCTAAATCATTCAGGTGGGGTCTATATAAAATGGAACCGCAATGTTTTGGTCTGAATTCCTCCTTATTGTAGCTCCACAAGCCCCTATTTCACTCCTCTTCTGAGGTTTGTCTCAAAGCAACTCGTTTTGATGCTGTCTCTTTAAATTCAAATGAGGTTTTTCACACCCCACCCCCCTCCATTCGTTAGGCCATTTTATGAAGTTGGATTGCAGAGATACAAATATCTAGCAGTGCAGAAACGTTTTCTTCACTAATTAAAGTTGTCAACAACAGAAGACTTGTCCGTCCGGTCTTACATGTTGGAGTCTGACCCAGAACCAGAGGAGAATGAAGACGACAAACCTGCAGAGCCACAGATTCACAATATCACCTAGAAGTCCGTGACAGCAAATATTGGGAAGTTTTTGTTAAAAAAAAAAAAACTGAGAATAGAGAAAACTGAACGGTCTGAAGAAWATGACCCAAACATAATATAAAGATATATTTGCAGCACAGAGAGAAATTAAATTAAACTTTTCTGTATTTCTAGAGACTCAACGTACACAACAAAATGTGTTTTAGGGCTTAAAAAGAGGATTTTGCATATGTCTCCTTTAAAACTCTTATTTAACCAGGCAGAACCCACTGAGACCACAGATCTGTCTTTCAGGGACAGCCTGGGCCTGAAGGCCGCCTAAATATTATAACCTCGAACAAATTGTAAATCAGATCTGACGACAGTCAATATGTCCTCTAACAGGCAGAGTCCCAGGATGCGTCCTCCTTCACCAGCTTCAACAAAACAGCGTCCCCCATCTCCCCAACCAACATCAGCGAAGCCCCCTCCTATCCAGAAACCAGCTCTCACCCCAACAGGACCCCCAACACTGAGAAAGCGGGATTCCAAGTCCAAGGATCTAGGTCCTGTTCAGGTTGTGGCTCCACAGTCCTCTGATTCAAGCAAGACCAAAGAGAAGGACGGTGAGTTTGTGAACRGTGATCAGAAGTACAAACACTAAATATTCTTCAGGCACAACAACGGTGTTTGTTCTGCTTCATGTCGACACRGTTTCAGCACATCAAGCACACGAGCTGAAATCTTAGGCTGAATCTGAACTGTGACTCACAGAAGCTTTTGGTTACGTTGGTCCAAACTTCCTTCTGCTCTGACAGGAGATTAAACATAATCGTTCTGTTATTATACTTGTCTTGTTCAAAGTAATGAACTGACATTAATCGGGTCTCCGAGAAATATTTTGTTTCTACAGAATGGCATCTTAGTACTCCCACCTTTTCACTCTGCACCTTTTTTATTTACAAAACAACGGATGTAGACGTTGTTCTATAAGTTCTTTGATTCAGCTCTCTCTAAAAATGTATATATATGTTTATATTCGGATGATAAATATGTTTAATGTAATTTTTAAACTGTTTTAATATCTATTAATAATTATCATTAAAAATCTTTGGTAAATTTGATGTGAAGCTGCTTCAAAAAGGAGGCACTTTGATTTGAAGATGAACCGCTGATGCAGCTTTTCCAATAGAWAGATGGGTTATAAATAATTAAAATAAAGTRTGTGTGTGYSTGCG